CTCTGCCAGGCGTCAGCAGATGACCTCAAGGCAAACTTTGAGTTTGCTTATTCTTGTGGAATCAAGCACCTTAGTCATTTCAACTTGATTGTTTCTCTTAGCTTCCTGCCAGTTCAACCATGCTTTACACAAATATTTTTAATATATTATCCAGCATTTTAGGTGCTCTTAAGGGCATTTTTCTCCCTTGCAAATTTCCTTAATTTAAAAAATATCCATTCTTTGAAATACTTTCATTTGTCTTATTGACTATAGATGGTCAATTACTAGAAAGAATCACTAAATAAGCTGTTTTGAAATCAAAGTGTTTAACAAGTCTTTTAGTTATAAAAGTGTTTTTTATGAAACAGTTTAGTTATAAAACATATATAAATATACTGCACAGCCAAGAACCACTTCCAAAACACCACCTTTTCTTCTAAAATTTAAGTATAAATATTGGCTCCAAAGTAATATATATACATCTTATCCAACATCTTAGTATAGAAATTTTAAAACCTACAACTAAGATGAAAGAACATTTGTACACCACCTGTATTCTACAATGATCATTTTATGACTGTTTTATCACATACTGATCCATCTATCCGCTCTTCCACCATTCATCAATTCACCAATCTTCTTTGTTTAATTGCAAAGGCAGGCATCCGTACAATTCCCCATAAATTCTTCAGCATAAATAGAATATTTTCTTTCTAGGCAATAAAGCTGCCTGTTCAAATTTTCTTACGATTTTATAAGCATTTAGAAAGCATGACTGTGCCACAATCACATAACAACATTTAAGTCAGAAAACAACAGTTCTATAACCAAAAGGGAAAAACAAGATTAAAATAGATTAATCATTAATATTTTACATTTATGATAGTAAAGGAAGCTTCTATATATGGCATATCCATTTTTAAAGTTTCAAATTTTATTTAATCAATATTAGGAGTTCTTATGGTCGCAGATCTTTCTTAGAAGTAAAGCCAGAATATTCCTAAGAAGCGAGGTTGGCAAGACTTCATTTTATGTCCTGTGGACCTGTCAGGAGAGACCAGTCCCTGCAAAAGGACATCATGCTTGGTCAAGTGGAGTGACAGAAAAAAAGAGGAAGACTCTCGACAAGAAAGACAGCCAGTAGTGGCTTCAACAATGGGCTCACACAGCAGAATAACTACGCGCTGCTGCCGGACCAGGCAGGGTTTTGGTCCGTTGTTCAGCGGTCCCTATGAGCTGGAACCAACCACAGTGGTGGCAATGGAGGGCGCATACTAGGCTGCTTACCACAAGGCAAACCCACCAGACATTCTCTGGGAGGACAATGTGGCTTTCTGCTCCTATAACGAGTCTGCTCAGACAACCTACATAGGGTCACTTTAATTGACTCATAGTTATAGGGGTGATTATAGTTTCTATATGTCTATAATAAAGCACTCAAAAACCAAACAAACAACTAAAACTCACAGCCATCGAGTCCATGTGGACTCATATAGTGCCATCCTGTGGCTTTCCAAGACTGTGACCATTTACGGGAGCTGAAAGCCCAGACTTTCTCCGGAGGAGAGCTGGTAGTTTTGAACTGCTGACCATGAGGATCATAGTCCAATGCATACCCGCAACACTATTACTTCTTATTAATGCTTCCCTACTCAGAAGTTTTGGAGAACGATTCAATTTCATAGATTCAGACTGGTGGTGTCATGAGTTACACGTATTGGCTGGCTCGCCTCAAGGCCCTAAGCTGAAACCCTCTAATCTTCATAGGAGGAACAGCAGGCTGTCTGCGCCCATAAAGGTTCACAGCCTTGGAAGCCGTCAGCAGCAGCTCTACTCTGCCCAACAAGGTCGCTGTATGTTCACATCTACTCAGTGGCAATGGGTTTGCTTAGGGGGTTTGGAAACTTAATTTAGCAAAGCTGCCTCACCTTTTCCCCATAGAGTGGCTGGTGGATTTGAACAACTAACTTTGTGGTTTCTAGCCGGAGGCTTACCCTACTGCACCATTGGAGCTACTTAGATTATTAAGGGTATACATACTAGCAGTAACAAAGAAGTCATTTTCCAGAAGCCCCATTTTTGTCCCTGAATTTAACCTAAAGTCCATGTGAACATGTTAAAATTTTCATGACTGAAGATCTTCATCAGTCCTTTGCTTCACACGACACACACACACACACACACACACACACACACACACACACCAAGTAAATTTAAAAAAGAATCCTCTAAATTTCTAAATGGTAAAAACCAGTAAAAATAAAATTGGGATATATTTTCATTTAAAATTTTCTATACTGGTCTTACCCTTTAGAATTTATTCTACTATTTAAGGACTTTTCCAGAGTAGTAAAGAACTTGCTAGCAAAAATGCAGGGGGTAACGTAATCCTAGCACCACACAAATACACAAAGATATTTGGCCTGTTCTTTCTGAGCGGGAGGCTTTCCTGGAAGCAGGTTAAAAAAATAAAGAAGAAGAATTGGTCTAACTTAAACGGTCTTATTGAATTTTCCTTTCTCATAGTGATATGTATCAAAAAGTTCACTGCCATCAAGTCATTGCTGACTCATAGAGACCTCCAGTGGGTTTCCAAGACTGTAACTGTGCATGGAAGTAGCAAGTCCAGCCTTTCTCCCACGGAGCTGCCGATGTTTTCAAACTGCCAACCATGTGGGTCACGGTCCGACTTGTAACCACTACACCACCAGAGTGTCATTGATATGGATATGTGTACTACACACCCCGAAAAAAAGCCCACAAACAAATCCACTGCCATTTCATTGATCCTGATTTATAGCAATGCTATTGGTCAGAGCACAAGTGCTGCATGGGGCTCCCGAGCAGAGGTCTTTACAGAGGCGGCTGCTGCGTCTTGCTCGGGTGGGGCAGCTCGGGAGTAGGTTCAAATTGCTGACCTTTCGGTTAACAGTCAGGCTCCTAATCATTGTGCCACCAAGGGTCCATGCTAAGTATAGTCTATTGTTAAAAAAGAAGAAATTAAAAACTCATTATAACTGACCCAGTAGCAAAACACGCAAAAAAGAAAGCAAGAAAAAGCTAGTACACTTTGACGAAAAGTGTCCTATTACTTTTGGTTCTAACCTCAAGCAAAAAGCGGTAGTCAAAGCGGTTGCCCCCAAGGTGATAATAACTCGAAAACCGCTTCAGAGAAAGCTCAACGAACAAAAGCTTGCACGTTAGCAGAGTGTGTGGCAGTTGAAGAGGAGCGTCCAGGGGCAGCAGGAGGGTCACCAGGGATAGTTGTACAGAAACAGATCGCTCCATAAAGTGAGCGTGGCCACAGGGACAGCGGGGGCTCACCAGCCACAAGGCCCCTATGCATCTATTTCATTAGTGTTATCTTTTCAGACTCTTTTGGCAGTAGATGGATTTATTAATTTTATCTAGAAACAGAGAAGACAAAATAGTGGCAAATTGGAGCAAAGACCAAAGCTTTAAATTCTAACAAAATATGACACGAAAACACAACACTTCGGGCATCGTTTTTCATATACAGAAATCTGCCTTATTTAGGGGGATGAGACTCTTAGAATATGCTAAAAACATTCAGACACAACGTTAAGATTCAATTACTTCCAGACACTCGCGATAAATAGACACTTCTGAGCTTCTAAAAATAGGCTTCCAGAGGCTTCACTGTTATGTAGAGTTCAAAGTGCCGCTTGACAAATATAGGCAATTATAGTGATTTTTTTAAAAAGCTAATTATAGAATATAAATACCCATAAAACAAGGGCTCCACAAACCTGTACCAATCCAAAGCCCCCAACACCCCTACCCGAGTCAGTTAAGAACAGAAACTAGTCTATTCCTAAATATCTATTTATTTTATGAAACAAAAACTAAAAAAAAATCATCAAAAAAGAACAGAAGCCAAGCAAGCCTCTTAACTGCCTCAGTTTACACATTTGTCAAATGATAATAGCTCCTTAACAGGGCTGTTCTAAATAAAAAGGACAAATTTACATGAACATCTTTGAAAAAGTAAAATACTTTGTCAGATTATGTTATTAATAAAATAAAATAAAATAAATTCATTGATGTAGTACTTCTCTTTAGCTGTCTGAGGTTGAAATTTCTATTAGTTTTGTTGTAAAATTTGTAACAGACAAAACTATACAAAATGTACACATGCATTTAAAAGAAGAGCAATTTAATGGACTCTCAAGAGAGTCTGCTCATATTAAAAAATGGGGCATTACTAATACCTTTGAGGCTCCCACGTGCCTGTTCCTGTATTTTTCAACACTCACCCCCGGGTATCCTAGATTGTGCACGAATCATTTTTCCTGTTATTTATAGTATTACTACATTTGTATTCCTAAACTAACTAGCTGCCATCCATCCATCTTGTCTTCAAACTTTATAGAAACGGAGTATGCTATAGATATTTGCCCTTCAACTTATACAATATTTTTCTCAGAGTAAATTCATGATATTAGTATCTCATTCTTCTATGTTATCACTAGAGTTTAAGGAAGTTTAAGTTAAAGTTTAGAGTTAAAGAGTTTAAGTCATACTCATTTAAGGAGGAGAAAATGGGACACAGTGAAGGTAAGCAATTTGCCACGTTATATTACAGGACAATGGATCGATCTTCCCCCAGCAATTCTGAAAGTAAAGCAAGCCAATGACAATCATGTTTTTAAGCTTCATTTAAAATTACATTATTTCTCTAGTGCTAGGAGTGGATCAAGTTTATATTTGAAAATTGACTTTACATAGCTAGTCTTTTTGCTTTCATATTAAAGGGACAATTATACTCAAGTGATGATGGAAAAGCTCTGAACAATATTCAATTATATTCTTCTTTAAAAAGTTATAGAGAAAGAGAGAGAACTAATTAGATAAAGACTTTCAAGATATTGTTCTTCCCTTTAGGGGCCAGGCTATTGGAGAATGAATAACCATATTCTGGAACAATCTATTTAAAGAAGATGGCTTCTACAACAGATAATTCGCTCAACACTAATCAATCTGAAGGTAACATTCACCTGAGCAAGTGGTGGAAGAATCTCCTTGCACATTTGCTGATTGGGTCTCTATATTCCAGGATCGTTGTATCCAGGAGTGGTCTTGTTGGAGCATAGAAGGTTCCAAGGCTTGCCTCTAGCTGTGCTGTGGAATTCAAACAAAACAGCACTGAGACAAGCAGGACTCCTTCAATTACAACAGAATACTCATGTTTGCAGTCAGTCAGGTTTTTCCAACTTGGATGAAATGTGAGCTTGTTGCAGGAAAGATGAAATTAAAATATGACAGCTGGTACAAAAACAAACCTGTGTGTAAACTTTCACTTGAGGCAAAGCTGACAATGACTCTGAGCAACAAAAAGCTGTCAAAATTGAAGAAATCCATAATGAACCAACCTCTCACCACAAACGGGTAATTAAAACGGTGACTCATCCGAGAAACACAGTTTGAACTAGTATTTCCCGTAAAATCAACTCACATTGTGCTCAACATTTGCACTCTTTAGCTGGAAGAAAAAACCCAACCTTTCCTTCATGTGAATCCCAATTAGGAGAGCAGAAATGTTTTAAAAGGAAGAAAGGCAAAAGTAGCCCGATTAGAGTAGCTCTCTATTATATTATAAAATCAATAGCAGCATCCCCTTGATTTTCCCTCGGTCCCGTTTTAATCAACAGGATTCTGGTTTTGTCTCCTTGTGAGAGCGAACTAATGCCCATGGAAAGGATGGCATGCTAAACAGTATTGTCAGCCACCTGACACCTTTCTACAGGCAAGAAAGGTTGGAGAGCAGGTTTTGATAAACCAGAGCCGGCAGGAGATTGTGGCCACATTAAGTACCTGGCATCTCAGGTACCATTCTTAGAGGAGAGAGGCGGAAAGGCTCACATTGCCACTTGACAGTTATACAAAGAGATACCTGTGGGGCTGTGCTTCTTCCCAGAAATGCCTGGAAGTTAAGTCATTACCATAAGGGAGCGGTATGAGTATGCCTGAGAACACAGCAGTTCCCAGTAAGACGTCACTGGCCCCTTCCTTCCTTCCTTCCTCCCTCCCTCCCTCCCTTCCTTCCTTCCTTCCTCCCTCCTTCCCTCCCTCCCTCCCTTCCTTCCTTCTCTTTCTTTTTTGTTTTAAGCTACCTGCAATGGGCTGAATAAACAATTCCTTACAGTCGAGCGCTTAGTTTTAGGCATATTTGGGTTTGAAAGTACTAAACACTTCATCAGAGTAATTGCTATGGACTTGGCTAAGCTGTTGGTAATTTCTCTTTTTTTTAATCTAAAATCTAGACAGTAAAGTAAGATGAACTTTAGGGGTATTTTCTTTCAAAGCAGCAGTCAATTTGGATTAAAATTGAATACAGCAATGCTATTGTGAAAACCAGCCTGATTCTTTTGCCATTGCTAGATTTCCTGACAGCATGCTCCTCACATCTGAAATGTTGAAGCCGACATGGAATACGCATAACTCCCGGCACAGTTATATAGATTCATTAGATAGCTCAGCTTGATGTTTAAGGCAGAAGTGAAGATCTCAAAGATAAGCACAACACTGCCACAAATAAAAGAGCTCACTGGGTTCCACTAATAAAAGGAAAACAAATTACCATGTCAAATTTGTGAGAGTCAGACAGAATAACTCTCAACAGAGAAGAATATGGAATGTTTTAGAAATGTGTTGTGCAGTCACATGGGGTGGTTGGGTGGGTTGTGGGGGGTGGGGGGGTGATGGGGACATACCTACTTAAAATGTACATATTCTGATAGCCCAGCATCATGCAAACGTTTTTAAAATTTTTAATAGCCTAGCATCACGCAAGCTTTTTATTTCTCTATCTCCCCTGTAGGTTCTCCTTAAAATATCTTTTATTGAGGCAGAAATCTGATAACATCCATTTGTGAATTCCCTAATGATCTTTCTTACAACACAATAATCTTACAACATAGATTCACTAAGGTGCTAGCAATTCCTCAGTGGCCTGAGAGAGAACCAATCTTTTATTTTCCACTGAAAGTTTAGATCGTGTAGCCCATACCAGATATTCTTTCTTTTGTTGGAGCAGGGTATGTACCCAATTCTGAGGCCATACCAATACCAAGGACTAATTCATTGGGATAGCTGTGCAGGAAGAAATATTAAGGTGCTACAGACTCCCCTCAAATCTTGGAGCCGTCTCTTCATTTTTATTTTCAACTGATACTCAATGAAGAACTACTATGCACCAATCACAGTGTCCAGTGATTCTCCGTTGGTGAAACACTGGCACGTTCACAGATGAGCTGGACGACCTCCAGAAAGCACATTCAGCTGACATTGAATCTCCATCGTGCTGCTCCTGGAGTGAGGGCAAGTCTCAAGTTGGGAGCGCTGAAACAAAAGAAGGAGCGGCCTGGACTGCAAATCTGGCCAACAAATGTATTTTAAGTGAATGGAAAGGACCATTGTCTGGGGGGAAGGCTTACAGTCTAAGAGGAAAATGCTGATGTATAAAGTGAAGGAGCAATAAGGACCTTTGTGTGCAGTCTTTTGTCGACCAGACTTCAGTGAGAACATGAAATTCCTGATCAGAGTTTGAAATCTGAGCATCTTCCACACACAAGCTTAGCCTCAAATGTACAAGGAGTGTATTGTGAGCTCCAACATGACCATATACAGAAAAGTTGCTCTGTGTGTTGACAAATACAAGTATTCCTTTCTGTTCTAATACAGCATTTTAATATTTTTGTCATTTAATCTTTGATAACATAATTCCAAAACATAACTAAACACAAAAAACTGTTATGATAAAAATGTACTTCGTATACATACACACACACACACACACACACACACACACAAGCCATTCACAAAATCTATTTAAGTCTGACCTTCTCTTTCTGGAGTGAGCTTTTGTCTAAGGAGATGGTTTACAATGGCACTGAGGGCCACAAAGCACTGCGGGCCCACGGTGTCCCAGTTCATGCTGCTCAGGATGTTGACGGCCTCACAGGTCTCATCACAGCGAATATACTGGAAGATAATGTCCACCAGGCTCAGCTGTCCTTGGGCCCAAATACCTGCCACCCAAAAATGTAAAATCAGGTCAACCTTTCTAATAAAAAGTAAAATAACAACAACAGAGTTAACTTTTCCATAAAGTAAAAACCATTCACGTCTTGCAACAGTGCAAAAATGTGGGCTATTTGGGGGCACAGGTGACATGACTCTGTGACTAAATGTCCATTTCAAATGCCACCTACCACTTCCATCTAGTTTATGCTTATTCTTCAGCACTTATTAATTCATTTACACAACACATAACAAAATTGCCTAAACTAAGAGGAAAACATACACACACCGTAGGATGGCCTTTTTAGGTGGGTCACAAACGCTAACCCTGTGTTTCCTGTCAGTCATCTAGGCCTATCTTCGAGACATTTGAAGACAAGGTTTTGAGTTAGCACACGTCCTGTTGACAGGGTCATTAGTTCAAAGTTGCACCAAGACTTCTAAAGTCAAAAGCCAAACTCACTGCCATCGAGTTGACTCTGACTCAGAATGGCCCTAGAGGACACAGTAGAGCTGCCCCTGTTGGCTTTCAAGTTTTTAAATCATTTACAGAAGCAGAAAGCCTCATCTTTCTTCCAAGGTGCAGCTGGTGGTTTTAAACTGCTGACCTTGCAGTCTGCAGCCCAACTTTTAACCACGATGCCACCAGCATACCTAGTTTTTAGTCCCATGTAATTAACTTTTAAAATGGATTATTAGAATAAGGAGGAAAGTACCATGATAAATATCATGAATAATAATTTGATTATATGAATGCTTTTAAGGCTGTTTTTCCTCAATGAATACTCTGAAGGAAGTCTCTTGATAGTCACACATGCCAGTTTGTTCTCTTCTACTGAAGTAAGAAATGATTTGTAACTATATCGCTATTGACCCCTTCACAGCAAACACTTGCTGCAAAGTACCTCGGTTCAATATAAACACATTCGCGGCTCTATTTAACATGGAAGAAAATCTACTACGAATCTTAGAAGACCAGGAGCACAAAACAAAGAGGCGGGACGCCCTGGTCTGGTTTCACTTTATTCTCTTTAAAGTTGGCTGCCCTCTTTTTAAACCAACCATTTTCATAATTAATGGCAATAAGTACTAAGACTTTTAAGTAGATTTTAAATATTATGAAATGTTGGACTACAAGTCTTATTTTCTTCAATCAAACGTGTTTCCGGAATTGAGACAAGTAAACTGTAAACCAGAATGAGGAAAGGTATCTGAAATTACACTGTACGCTATAAAGTGTTCTTTTTATTACTATCATTATCCTCACAGTTACAGGTTTCCATTCTTAAGTATATATATAATGTATATTAGATACACGTATATAAGTTTATAAGAAATAGGCTGAAACCCTTTAGACTAACATTAGTATCTAACAGGACTCAACTTGACAGAGAATCTGGAGAATTGCCCTCATGACACTGAGCAGTACAAGTTTACTATTCTCTTTGTGTCAGTAAAATCAACAAGTGCTACAGTCCAAACGCTGTACTGGAAGTCCTCGTAAATCAAAGTTCCTTGGCAGCACAGAGTAACTCATGTAGGACCTTCAGGGGGAACAGAAACTAGCAAAAATCTGTTGCCTGTCTCTACATCTTTAGCAGGAATATGAACTCATTTGTTGAGAAGTAGGCAGTTCAAAACCGGCCTGCTCTGAGGGAGAAAGACAGGACTTTCTACCCCATAAGCAGTTACAGTCTCAGAAACGCAGAGGGGCAATTCTACCCTCTCTTATAGGGTCACTGTGAGTGGGCGTTGACTCCACAGCAGTGAGTTTGATTTTCTAACTCAGGTAATAGGACCCCCGGTGGTGTAGTGGGTTATGCATTGGGCTGCTAGCTGCAAGGTCAGCAGTTTGAAACCACCAGCCACTCCTCAGGAGGAAGATGAGGCTTTCTTCTCCAGTCAAGATTTACAGCCTCAGAAACCCACAGGGGCAGTTCTATTCAGCCCTATAAAATCGATCTGAATCAGCATCGAATCTACAGCAGTGAGTTGAGTTACTCATGTCACATGCCTGATCCAAAGTCATGGGAATTTCCCCTAAGGTGTGGTTTGCATCACGTTATCTAACACAGGGCAGAGAAGTGGGCAAAGGAGGAGGGGCCTGACTACGAACAAGAAAGAAGAACTGGGAACTGAGTGCATCCATTAGACCTGGGGTTCTTGTGTGAAGAACCTCCTAGACCCTGGGAGGGACTGATGCCAGGACACATGGTAGCTCCAAAAAATGGAGCAGCAGAGAAGCCCGGGAGACAAGGCCCTTCTTCCAAAGCTGGTTAACTGAGAAGCCTTCCCCTCCAGCAGCACCCTGAATTTGGACCTAGCCTCTGAGACTGGGAAAATAAATGTATGTTGCTATAGCCATCCACTTGTGGCATTTATGTTGTAGCAGCACTCGATAACAAAGAGGGCATTTTTACTGTACTGAAATAAGAGTAAATTAACTTAGAATTCTATAACAAGGTGGACTGAAAATCAACAATTCTAAAGGTACTTAATAACAGAGTTCTAAAATATATAAAGCAAAGATCGAAAGAAAGGAGAAAAAGTAGAATCTATAATTATAATGGAAAGTATCAGCCCTTTTCTCTCATTAATTGAGAAAAGATATTAATAGATATCAATTAGGATATATGTCTTAAACACTATCAATCAATCAGTCCTAATGGACATTTATAAAACACTCCACCTAACATTCTTTTTATATGCACATATAAGATAGAGAACATACTGGGTAATAACAAGAAGACTCAATATATTCTGATGTCTTGAAATCATATAGATTGTGTTTTCTGACCATAATTGAATACTGTGCGCAATGTGTGCATTCACACACACACACACACACACACACACACCTGCATGTCCAGATGACATAACTGGTAAATTTTATCAAACATTAAGAAAGAAATAGTATCAAGTCTATAAGACTGTTCCAGAGAATATGTGGAAAGTACACTGGAAAACTTAAAAAAAATTTTTTTAGGCTTTCCACTGATACCCAAAACAGAGAAAAACAGGAGAAACGGAACTAAGGACCAGTATATACTCTCTTAAGAGATGCAAGTATCTTTAACAAAGTATTAGCAAATCTAGCAACATGCAAAAAGGATAAGATGTCATGAAGCAGTAAGATTTCTTCCAGAAACCCAGGGTTGTTTAAACATATAAAACCCAAACCAATCAATAAAATTCAGCATTTACCATAAAGAAATAGGAAAAATACATATCTATGCTTTGAGTACATATATATTGTGAGTGCGTATACTTTATACATATAAGTAAAATCTGCAAAGGCCAGAACCTGTGTAAGACAGAAACGTGCCAGAGAAAGAAATCTTACATCATCTCCATGAAAAGGAGAAGGGAAAAGTGGTAGGGCCACACCTTGTCAAAGGCGGAAAACACGGCCGTCCCTGACAACATCCTGCTCTCACAGGCTGCACTGCGGAGTGATTTCAGTCGCTGCAGAGAATGCATTTGATAAACACGACAACCACTGAAGAAAATGTATCTCCACAATCTTGGAATGGACGGGGACTCGCACAACATAATACAAGATCTTCTTACCTCATCTATTCAACAGTGGCTCTGGCCAGTTCCATAAAGGAAGATGAAGAAATGAAAAGAATACAGCTTGGATAAGAACATTTGTAGCTTTCCTGATCATCTGTGTAGAAAATTCCGAAGAACTAAAAAAATTCCTAATACAAAGATGTGGGTGTAACAGGGTTGTAAGATACGTAGTCAGTATTTTAAATTTTTACTTCTACAATTTAAAAATACTAATTGTAATAGCACCCTAATGCAGGAAAGTCTTAGAAACAAATTTAACCAAGTATGTACAAGATCTTTATATTTAAAATCTCCAGCACATTTCTGAGAGAAATGAAATGAGATCTCCGTAAATGGGGAGAGATATAGTAGTCATGAATTGAAAGATTCAATCTCATCCCTCTCCAAAGTCACCTATAGGTCGTACATCTAATTGGATTCACTGGCAATCGAAATTTCACCAGGTGTTTTTTATAGGAATGGATAAGCTAGCTTCAGACTTTATATAAAAATGCACAGGACCTATAGAGTAGTCGAAACCATTTTGAGAAATAATAAGAGCCAGATCAGTGATTGGCTGGCTGGGTGATGGGTGGGGTGGTGAGGAGCAGATGAATCTAAGAACGTCCCAATGAAAAAGGTGGCATCCTCTGTTGAGAATCGCGTGAGGTTAAAGAGAGCAGGTATGGTCAGAAAAGGTAAAGGAGAGAATGGAAGTGTTCTAATCAGTCTGGATAATTAGGGCCTCCTCTTAAAATTGTTCTCAGTCTTATGTGTGTGACAATATGATCGTTTTCCAGAACACAGTACCTCTTGACTTCCAGCTCCCTTCTCAGGAGGACATGCTGTTTGCAATATCTGTCTACCAACAGTGGTGGTGACTTTTCACACTCCTGTGACCATGACTCGTGCAACAATTAGTCAGGTTAAGAATGGAAGCTCTAGTCCTGGAACAGTTTTTCTTCAAGGTGACAATGACTGACCTCATCTAAGAGTCAAACTCCAATACTCTTAGTATATTGACACGAGCTGCTGACATGTTTATACATGACAGCATTCTATTTTAAACTATGATCTATGTCTCTCCGTTTCCTAAACTGTAGGCTACACCTTTCATGTCAAATTTTCCAAAGGCTTACATAACAAACATCTGGAAAAAAATCTAATAAATGCTCCCTGGTGGGGAAACAACACATGCAACTACCTGTTTATATATGCAGCCACTTGAATTATACATGGAAACTCCACACGGATGCCCAGAATCAGTACTGTGTTAATTTCAAGAAGTATATTAAATTTCTTGGATGTATTTTAGCACATCTTAAGAAAATCGGTTCTTTAAACAGGGTTTTCTTCAAAGAAAGAAAGAGCTACTAGTGGAATCAACTATTCCAAAGCATCTACTCATCTAAGGAAAAGTATATCATTTGTAATACACATTAATCTTATAATAAATTAAAAATGAGAAACACAAATTTTAAAATGACTGTTGGAAATGCCCTCCATATTGAGATCTTCAGGAAAGAGCTCATAAGACTCTAAATTTTCTCAGTCCTATAAAATTTAAGAGAGTCATATTAAAAATAAAACTTGAATGATAAATGTCAGTTGCAGAAATTATCACCTTTTCATTTGAATGCTTGACTTCTATTGGCTAATTCTCTTCCAAGAGACCTTCTTGGAAAAAGGAGGTGACAGCCAACTCATTGCCTAATTGATTTAGGAACAGTGCCCACGGAGACCGTCCAATTAAATTTTATAAGCTGGCAATTAGCAGGAAGCCCTCTAAATCCCTACACGGAGAGCCTATTTACTTTAGTAAGAAAGCAAACTGCTAGAGATAGGGAGAGAAAGCTGTGCTTTTTGCAAAGCTGTTGTGAGTCGGTCCACAAGGGAAGACTGCAGAAAAGCTAGGTATATGTGGGCAGGCAGCCTTCTGTTTGACAGGTAAATGGTGGGGAGGGTGCGCGCATGAGCATTCTCAAGCACGTGTGTCTGTGTGTGTCTTAACAGACGTGTGAAACATCAAACATCCACTTTAATTGGTGCTGTGTATGGAGACGTACAACTGTCAAACATGAAGCTGGGCAAAGTAGAACTGGATTAGCTCTCACTAAATGAGATTGAAAACATTTTTTCTTAGACAACACTAAGATTATGAATAGATCCAGCTGCATTTCTATGAGGTGGAAAGAACACCGCCCTCACATTAAATCCATTGCATCTTTCAGGTTAATCAAATCATTTTTACTAGATCCCCCCCCCCCCATGTATTCAACTTTAGAGGAAAGGGGATCCTTTAAAAAAGGATGAAAAACAAACAAACAGTAAATTGACCATTATTTAACAAATACTATAATTTCATAAAATACGTAAAACGCTATACCTCAGAGTCAATCCAATAAGGAGTTTAAAATTCATTCACTTTTCTATGCTTTCAAGTAGCTACCATGTGCCTGAGTTGAAATCTTTTTTAAACTCACGTGAGTTCTCTCAAGAATGCTAGATTCTATAAAAGCATGAAAATAATATCACATATCTCAAGGTGCAGCCAATAATGCAAAACATAAGTTTACGAGACAAATACATCATGATTTTCATTTTAAAAGTATACTGGTTGAAATGGGCAACATTAATGCACACTTTTCAGATTTCATGGTATTTTTTGAACATTTTTATCTAAAAGGGAAAGAGCCACAAACAAAAATTACAAATAGTTGCAGTGAATTTTAACTATTTGCTTTTCCTTCCTTGCATAATTTCAATCTGAGAATTCACTTATTATCAGAAAAAGCATTATATTCCTACAATTCAAAATTTTGGATTTGAGGGTTTGGGGGAGGTGTTTAGAAGTGTTTTGGTTTTTTTTTTCCCAAGGCTCTTTGTTTTAGAAAGTAGCAAGTTTGAAAGCTCAGGATTTTTAATCATGGCAATGGACAAATGACTGCAGTTCACAGAGTCTTTAATATCTAAGGTTCCCTCTGCATTGAGAAAACCATCCCTAGAGCCTGATTCAAAACATTCATGGAAAAATAGAATGTAAAGATAATGGAGTTTTCCACAAACTCTCTCGTGTATGACATATTTGAAGGACAAGCATCCGTGTGGGAATAAGTATGCAAATAGAAGGACTACATTCCCAGAACAGTTTTATTACTTTAATTATAATGTCAGAACCATAAACACTTGACTTACTCACCAACTTCCTTGACTTACCAAATTTAAATAAAAGCACACCCAGCGGTCCTCGATCAAACCTAAGGAAGAGGAGATTGCAAGTACACCCACTCTCGGGCTTCCCAGAAAGCACCTGAGGGGCTATCCACTGCATTTGAACCAGACTGCTAGAAACATCAAAGTATTTACGGAATGGCAGCGTTGCCTTGGGTGCGCGGTCTTCAGCCAAGAGCTGTATGCTAATCGGGGACAGAGCCATATCAAAAATTTGCAGATCCCCTTGGTTGCTGCCAACTATCAGGATGGCACCGCTTGGGTGGCAGCTTATTAATGAGGGCAAAAGTTCCGCCTGGACCAAGAGCGTCACTCCCCGGTGCGTTTCGTAAAGAACAACCGAAGCATCTTCACAGCCCAAGATCAGTTTGTCTTCAGTAACATCCCTGCAGCAACTGATGGCCTTCGATCTCAGTGGGATCTTGGTGACCGACACACACTGGATCTTGTTCTGAACATACTCATAAACGCAGCTGTCCACCATGGGCTCTTTGTTCCCACTGAGGGAGCACTCCACTGTGAACAGCTGATAAGGCTGCTTGGTGCCAAAGCGAGCATCCAGTGGGTTCCACTCGGTGCGGGTAGAACTCAGGACCTGTAAGACATACATCACGTAGATTCAGAGAACGTCTGTTTTTCTTTATCTGTCATCCTCGAACAGCACACTCATCTGGCTCCCTACTGAGGACCATCAAGGACCACCATAAGCATTGGCAGCACGTAGGTGTGTACTCAGCACACAGAGGTGTGCAGCGCATAAAGCATAGCTGACACTGTATTCTGCAAACCACTAGAATAAAAATAGGCACAGCCCACAATAGTTACAAACTAATGATGTGAATGTTTAGAAAAATAATGTGGTTAGGCAAAGATCTCGAAAAATTAGAAGTTAGATTTTTTTAAAGCATCAATAAAAGGCTTGAATCAATTTAATTTTTTTTTTCTGGCTACCACCCTTACCAATACTGAAATTATGGGCAAAGTATTTCTAATTAGTAGTGATGAGTTGGCAAAGGCTATTTCAGAACTCTGCGAATGGTCTAGGAGCCCTAGTGGCATTGTCAGGAAACTAAGTGCAAGGTCAGAGGCTCAGACCCACCAGCCACGCCTCGGGCGAAAGCTGAGGCTGTTTGTGTCCATACAGATTTACAGCCTCCCAGACGCTACAAATGGTCACTGTGAGTTGAAATTAACTTGAGGGCAATAGGTTTGGTTTGATTGGGGGGGTTAGTAGTCCTGTAGAATGTTTTACTATCCGAAAGGATATGAAGGGTTATTAAGTAGACAAACAGTTAATGGGGAGAAATAATAATGGGAATATACTGGTTAGAAGAATGAAGTGTAAAATGAGGACCTGGGAAATAATAAGACTTGTCAATACTGGTACAATGAAAGTTAACAGCATGTTTTGTATAGAAAGGACAAGTTACGTACCTATAAGAAACCCACAGGCCGAGAAACAAAGACGGAGAAGCTATTCAGCTTATTCTTATGCCAAGGAAGGGGGACCCAGAACCTGGGGATCAGTTTTAGAAAAGGGATTTTCTAACACTTTGTCAAAAACATCAAAATCCGATACAGAAGCATTAAAAAGAAAAAGGGTAAGTGCTGCACTACCGGAAGGTTGGCAGTTCAAACCCACCCAGATGTGCTTCTGAAGTAAGGTCTGGCGATTGGCTTCCTCAGTCAATAGCCTTGAAAACCCTCTTGAGTGCAGTTCTAGTCTCTGAATAGATTCAACCGCAACTGTCTGCATACATGATAAAATACCATAAAACTATACAGTAGGCACACACATACAAAGTGCATGTAACATTTAATGAAATCTGAAGAAGAAGAAAAAGTACTTGAGTTGATGGTATTGTCCCCAGGCCATTATCCTGATTTTGATGGTGCACTCTGGTTATGTCTGGCATGACCATTTGGGGAAGCTGGGGGCAAAGAATCAGGAGGCCTGGCAGCATAGTGGGTTACAAGTTGAGGGGCTGACCACAAAGTCAGGACGTGCACCAGCCAGCTGTTCCTCAGGAGAAAGGTGGGGCTTTCTCCCCCTGTAAAGATTGACAGTCATGGAGACGCACAGGGCTGCCACCCGTCAGAACGGGCCTGATGGCGGTGAGGTTGTCTGTTTAAGGAAGGGGTACATGAAAAGAATTTGCTGTTTGGTTTTAGCAATTTCTTGTAAGCCAAACTACTTCAAAATGCAAAGGTATTTTAAAAGAAACAAAGCACATAGAGCTATGTTCCAGATTGCTGGAGTTGGGAGTGGTGGGGGTGGAGAACTCACGCGAGTCAACATTGAAAAATATACATCCTGCATATCATTGCCAAACGAATCTTCCTGAAATGGGATGCTTCCACTCCCACTAACCTGTTCAAACCCTTCAATGACTACCGAGTGATGGATGAACTTCCTTTTTATCTCCCTGCCAGGAAACCAAGATCCTATAGCATCCAAAACCACCCCCTGCCTACCCTCACAGCCTTCTCTCTGCTCTAGATTTCTTTTCTTTTGACTAACAAATATTTGATTACCAGCCTTGTACCAGGCAGTGTCCTGGGGTAGTGAGCACATCCTCTAGGCTCTGGAGGAACAGGCAATAAACAAGCAAGTATAGCAGAAGCCAGGGGTCAGAACTTTGACAGAAACTAAGCAAGGGAAGGGAGAGCGGGGTAGCAGGGTGTCTGACACTGAGTCAGGAGAGGCCTCTCAGACAGTGGGGATCCGAAGGAAGTGAGGGGTGAGCCATGTGGTTCCAGAGCTCCTGGCACTATGAACCAAACAATATTCCCCAGTCCACTGCCACTGAGTGTATTCCCCCTAATGGTGGCCATATAGGGCAGAGGAGCTCTGCCTCCCTGGCTTCCAAGGCTGTGATCTGCAGAAGCAGACAGCCACCTTTTGCCCACCGAGCAGCTGGTGGGTTGGAAGCATGGATTTTTTAATGAGCGACGGGGTGCTTAACCACCGAGCCCCAGGACTCCTTCTTAGGGTGGGGCTCCAGTCTGCCTTAGAAATTCTTATAGCGATACTCCCTCCAGAACCCTGACTCGTACTGAGTTCAAAAGGAGAGCTGCACTGCCCACCAGCTCCATCACTTTGCGCACGTCCTGTGCCGGGCAATTCTGCTCTTCATCTATGAAGTCACACTCTTGTCCTGCTAGCAATAGTCCCCGTCGAAGAACCGGGCCAGTTGCTCTCCTGCCCCACCTCAGCCCCCACCTCACCTACAAGCTTGCCCTCTCTTTGGTTCTGACATATGCCCTCGGGTTTATTGTACGCGGAACAAGAGGAATTGTTTCATGTATAGTCTGCTTTTTTTGTTGTTTTTTGTATCTTGTATAGCAGCTAGGTAAGGGCTGTGCTAGTGACAGGAGGATATATTTTTTAAACTATGAATTAAAAAAAATTCTGGATACATTGGACAAAGCTCAAAGTTTTGCAAAGAACATCTTGGGGCAGATGACGGAGAGGCCAGGTGAGGCTGAGTGGGCCCTGTACTCAAACAGGGCACAGTCTGAAAGGAGAGGCCTGGCCACACAGCAGTCCTGACCTAAGACAAGTTAGGCTCAAGGTCCAAGGAGAAGGGTCCTAGGCTTTCTCATTTTCAACAGTTGGTGAGATCATCCATTAAAAGGCCCAGTAGCCCCACCAAGAGAAAGCTGAGGAGATGGGGCAAAGACCGTGGGCACAGGCAGCCCTCCTGTGCCCTGCCATTTCATCCCTTCTCCCACATGCTGCCAAACCCAAGTAATTCTGAAATGCTAGCCCAGGGCTGGGGATCATCTGCTGCCCCAACTAAGTGTCCGCCTGGTTACTGATGGCTGGAATTCATTTACAGGAGGACAATGTCCTGCACATCATAATTATAGACTCATTAACACTTTAGCATGCAAAAGTTTCAGTAAAGAATAACTCCACTAATAAGAAAAATAAAATAGAGTGCTGTGTTAATCATTTCTTACACTGGAACACTGTCTTATTTCATTTCCTCAGTATTCCAGAGACAGAAAGGATGCTGGGAAACAAAGACAGAATGAAAACTACACACACACACACACACACACACACACACCAAAACCCAAAATCTTAATTTCATTCAATTCATAAAAATGTGGCTAGTATTTAGAATTCATAGCCACATTCAAGAGAAAGGAAAATGAGAGTCAGAGAGATGGTGTCAGTTGCTGTGGGTCTCTGAGTTGCTAAGAAAGAGAGAGCTGTGGCTTGAATCTCAGTCTGCTTGCCACTAAAAACCAAGGTTTCTGCAGGGCATGCTGCCTCATAAGCATAGGAAGCCACAGGACTGAGTCAGCTCCGACGTGATCAGAGAGAAGGAACGAGAACTCCAGCACAGTGGGAGCCACAAGGGTGGCAGAGGGATCACCGCCGAGGCTCGAAGAGGCATAAAAAAAGGTGAAGGGCCAGCCAGACAAATTATTCAAGTGATAGTGGTGGCAGCTACCTTGGGGTGAGAAAGGTAGGCGCTTGTGCCCGAGCTGTTTGTCATATAATGAATAATACTGGCAGTTTTACTTTGAATGATGAGTAAGTTTACGTGACATATTTACAGATGTTTCATTCTTGGATGGATTGACTTAAAATGACAGTAAATAACAAGCTTTGTAAATTTAGTGTACATACACACAAAAGGGGCCACCCCAATAAACCAGATTTTTTTCAAAGCTATGTATTTAAATTTTTTTTTTTACAAAACAACCTTTTCACCGTCTAAGTACTCTCCATTACACTTACTACATTTGTCAAATCTGCGACTCCATTCTTAGAAACTTTTAAAACTCATCTGTATGGATTGCTGACAGCACCTCCCTTGTTTACTTCACCTCATCTATGTCGTCAAATCGCTGTCCTTTCATGTTCCTCTGTATTCACAGAAACAAAAAGAAGTGGCATAGAGGGGTATCAGGTGAGTAAGGTGCATGGGGTAAGGAGAGGCATGCTGTTTTTGCCAAAAACTGCAACATTGAGATGGTTATGTGAGCAGGTGCATTGCTGTGGTGGCAAAACCAGTTTCCCATCTGTCACAAATCAGGCCTCTCTTTGTCGCACATTGTTATGCAATCTTTTCAGAACCTCTAAATAGAAAGCTTGATTAACAGTCTGACCTGGTGGAATGAACTCCAAATTCACTCTCCCCTGCACATCAAGAAGGCAAATAAGCATCTTCTCGATCTTTTATTTCATTGGATGAACCTTTTTGGGGTGAGGAGATGATGGTGCCTTCCACTGCTTGATTGATGTTTCCTTTCGGGGTGGTAAGAAGAGCACCATTGCTGGTCTCGCCACCAGCAGTGACCTTGGAAAAAAAGTCTGGGTTGCTTCAGACCTGTTCTTGCAGAGCATGGCATGTTTCCACTCAATGATTTTTTTTCCTGGTCAGTCAGAAGCCAAGGCATAAATTTTGCAGTGACCCTTCTCATTCCCAAATCTTTCATTAAAATTCATGGAAGCGAGCTCCAAGATAGTTCCAGATAACTTCCCCATCTCTTCAGTGGTCTGTTGTAGGTATTCAGATTTTGTCCACATTTTTCATCTATTCAAGAAGTTGACAGACTTCCAGAATGAGGTTTGTC